ACTTGGTGTGTTTACAAAACATCACCCATCAACATTTCAGCTGAGTAATCCCATGTGTCCTGATCTCTACACTCACCACACTCTGCTATTCTCACTTCTAACAGCCAGAGTGATTTTACTCTGCCAGCAGCTGCTTATTGGCACTGCATATACTCCCTGTGACAAATTCATTAACTTGCAATAATGTCTGTTAGAGCGCTAATGCTAGGAACTCCCAGAATCCTTATGTTTACCAGGATAACAACATGCTCCCAATTAGCTGCTGTATGTCTGTATTTCCTTCATATCCATTTCCAAACTGCCTACCCAACAATTACAATATCTTAACAATTATTGAGAATTTTAAAGATAAGTTGATGCAACAGTAGCTATAAATACAGCTGATAAGTGGAACAGAAAACCCACTTGTTTACATTATTATAAATGGCTCTCGCTATACTTACTGCATTTTGACGCTGGGCCTTTGAGTCTAAGCTCCAGCTGCAGCAACTGCTGGGCCCACCCCTCCCCACTTCCTGTCCAATGACAGAACGTTTTGGGTTATGTGAACTCATTCACAAAATGCAAAGGCTCCTGTGAATGGGAAGCAGCTGTCAGATGCTGTGTGTGTGAGAAGGTGGCATCTTTCCTGTCAGAGCTCCTGGAGTGTAGCAACATCTATATTTTTAAACACAATTGGATATTTTTTCACTGCAAAGATAAACAGAGCACAGCTTAAGGTGGACATAGATGGATCGAAATTTGGCCGGTTTAACAAGTCCCAGGCGAATTTTGATTCATGTGTGGCCAATGCAGTTGTTTAGAAGTTGATCTACTAACTGACTTCTGTTCAACCACCCTGTTGGATAAAAGAAACTTGATCAGCAGCTGCAGCACTGATCTGTGTATTCTGACAATAGCCACCTGGAATGTGTGGATGGCTAATGTATGGCTAATTTTACACACATTGCCATGATCATCTTTAAACTCCCAAAGAAAAACAAACAGTTGGGTACACTACAAAAGGTCAATTTCAGTAACAGGCATTTTTCAACATTCTTGGAAATTATTATTATTATTATTATTATACAGGATTTATATAGCGCCAACAGTTTGCTCAGCGCTTTACAATATAAAGGGAAACAATACAGCAACAATACAGTTCAATACAAGAGGGTTAGAAGGGCCCTGCTTCTAGGAGCTTACAATCTAAGAGGGAGGGGCTGGTGGTACAAAAGGTAATAACTGTGCGGAATGGACTGCTAGGAAGAATAGAAGATTCCATTATTAGCTGAAGGTAGGATATGTTCCCTGAAGAGATAGGTTTTCAGAGATCGCCTAAAAGTGAGAAGAGTAGGCGATAGTCTGATAGATTGGGGGTAGAGCGTTCCAGAGGATGGGGGAAGCTCTGGAGAAGTCCTGGAGATGAGCATGGGAGGAGGAGACAAGGGAGCCAGAGAGCAGGAGGTCATGGGAGGAGCGGAGGACAGTTTGGGTTATATTTGGAGACAAGATTGGTGATTATTTTTCATAAAATATCCCCAAATTTTGCTATTCAATAATTTAGAAGCAACTTGCTGCCTTCCCTCTCAGTGCCACTAGCTTAAACTTCTGGTTGGGAATTGCACACTGGTCAGGGCGTCCTCATGCATCTAGACTACATATCCCATAATCCCTTTTAGCACCTTTTAGCTAAAGCACATGCATGATCCATATTTTGTCAGCCACTGCCAATCAAAACCCTTAGAGGAAATCTCAACAATTGTTTCCTTTTCTCTATACAAAAGTGACTGATCCCCTTTCTAAACAAGATCTGCCAAATAAAAGGTATAAACTAGTCAGGAAAACAAATTATTGACAGCTAGTGACTGGTCTCTTCTATCCTAATGGTATGGGTTTCTATATGGATAATTGCAATAGGTGTTGTAAACTGTTGACTTCCCTTCCTTTGTATGACCCAGCACCAAAGTAATCTATCACGATGGCATAAACTTAGACAGTAAGGAGTTAGCTGATGATCAGATAAAGCCCAGCTTACCCACAAAACACTTTGGTTCACATGCATAACACGTACTGATTTACAAGGTTTTTTTTTTTTGTTTGTCTGGTTTTTTTTAGAAACAGACTACCGGTTTTGTTCACTCAGCAACAAACATATGTCAAGGTCAGGTTTCCAAATGAGAGTGGATTACAAATTTGCAGCTCCAGCATCTTCCCTCTGACCACAGTTTTAATAATGCTTGTTGCTTAGTCAGTGAGGTTGATTTACCAAAGAAACAGCAAGTTCATTCTGCAGAACACAAACACTGCTTTACCAAATTTACTAAGTGAGCATTCACTTCGCTAAGTGAACAGCCTTTACTACTTTAGAATAACAACTCCAACTCATAAACTTAATGAGCGGCAGGGTTCTTCTTATGTACAATTCCCATTTATTACACTATGTAGTCACCAGCCCATTAAAAGCTGTGGGGTATGTGTATTTGAAAGACAACCTCTAAAAGGGACACAGAGCACACAATGAAAACTATTACCCATTGCAGCTGTGTAAACGGAGATACATTGACATAACAAGATCACACACAGAGGTAAGACTTGATCCCATGACCTTAAAAGATGCACTCAGTTCATGGATCGCCATGTCTGTTTCCACCTTCTTATATCATCTTTGTTGAGTAGACTGATTTAAAAAACGTATTCAGAGCAGATGTTTCAAGTACAAATAAATTAAACATGCCAACATTACACACCGGTAACAACAAAATCCTGGATTTACAGTTTATGGTCAAATTGTTCTTGTTTCTGTTGTGTTGAAGAAATCTCATGTAGTAATTTGTTTAACCTCTTAAAAGAGAAGAATGGACAAAGTTTCTTTGACCTTACTCCTCTTGAAGGTCACAGGAACACTTTTACTTTTGGTTCTCCAGTGACCCAAAGTCAGCTGATGGCGGGCTATGGCCCACTATCAGCTGATAGAGCCTGGAAAAGATCCTGACAATATTGCCTGCCTGATGGACAGGTGGCTCCACCTTTCAGCATGTGACTGAGAGCATGTTGTGACATGACTAACGCCGGCTATGGATGGAGTTTTCAGCAGGGACCAGCCAAGATTTGATCCATCTATGGGCAAGCTGGTTGTACTGAAGTCGATCCATCAATTGACTTCAGTACAACCAGCCTGACAGATTTTTTTCATATGATTACTGCTGATGTCTCCCTACTGGCAGAACACAGTAGAGTTGTGGAAGGGATTCCCCATCAACACTGACTGTGTTGATGGGGGAATCAAGTAATTTTCTTTCCTGCAACACTTGGTTGAAGTAAACAAAACTGCATCATCTATGGATTGCCAACATAAAATTATCGATAAGAGTATCAGTTTCTAAAACCACAGAAAAACTGTGGTGGCGTGGTGCATTGCTGAAGAAATTAAATGAGAAATGCCATACTGTTGAAGCTGCACTTAATGTCTTTGGGTCCATTATATGTAAATATGTAAAAGTAAATATGTTTTAAACAGACCTGCTAGTCACATTCAAAATGCAATATACTGTATGCCAGTATAACATTCCATATTTACCTGACTATATATATATTTTTTTTTTTCCTAGATCTGCTTTAGGGTAGCAATTAGAGAGAAAGAAATCCATGTGCGTTCTACTAGAAGATAGTAGAACTGTATATAAAAGATCTAGAACTTAGTAAATACGGATTTACTAAAACTGCAGCATACAAAATCTAGTGCAGCTCCACACAGAAACCAATCAGCTTCCAGGTTTTATTGTCAAACCTTAACTGAACAAACTAAAGTTAGAAGCTGATTGGTTATTATGCACAGCTACACCAGATTCTATGTGCGTCAGCTTTAGTAAACCCCATCCCCCTCCTCCTCGTTAGAGCCTGTTCTACAAATATAACATTTCTGTGGTTACTTACTGAACTTTCTTACTTTAACTCACATAAAATAATATAATCTCCACAATCTGCATTTTGATTTAATGCTTGATCCAGGCCTATTTTTTGTACTTCTACAATGTACTAAAAATGTAGCAATTACAATCAAGTGACTGGCAAACTATGAGTTCTCTAGTATATATACTGTACTGAATAACAACTGAATAAACATAAAGACACACAGGTGCTACAAACACACTGGAATTCTATGACTGCATCATGTCTAGCCTGGGTCATTGGCTACTCAGATAAAATGTGTCTTTACCACAAAATGTTTCCATTACTTTTAGGGCTCGTTCTCATCATGGTGCAGAGATGTCAGTTTTTCTGCATGCTTTCTGCAAGGGCACAACAAAATCAATTCTCTATGTGTCCTGTTAACGCCACAACATTAGTATCCTGTGCAGATTTTTTCTGCACAGGAATCTGCATCGTGTACACTGAAGCGTGCATGAAAACTAATGTCTCTGTAAGTGAAATCTGCGTGTCAGTTTCCATGGGTTTTTTCTGCATGTACAGTATGGTGTGAACAAGGAATAAGGCCTTGTTCACACCATGGTGCAGGGACGTCAGTTTTTCTGCACGCATTCTGCAAGTGCACAACAAAATCAACTGTTCTCTATGTGCCCTGTTCACACCACAACACTAGTATCACATGCAGATTTTTTCTGCAACTCACTGAAGCGTGCATGAAACTGATATAAACTAATGTTTCTGCAAGTGAAATCTGCACATCAGTTTCCATCAGTTTTTCTGCACGTATGATGTGAAAGAGGCCTTACAGTTGCTTTTGCTCTCAACTCAATTGCCAAGCCATTAACCACTAGCCTAGAGGGCACTTATACCCCCCTCCTGCCCAGGCCAATTTCCAGCTTTCAGCGCTGTTGCACTTTGAATGACAATTGCGTGGTCATGCAACACTGTACCCATATGAAATTATCATTTTTTTTTGACAGATAGAGCTTTCTTTTGGTGTTAATCACCTCTGGGTTTTTTATTTTTTCCTAAACAAACCAAAAACCACTGAAAATTTTGAAAAAAAAAAATGTTTTTTTTCTTAGTTTTAGTTATAAAATTTTGTAAATAAGTGATTTTTCTCCTTCACTGATGTGTGCTAATGAGGCTGCAGTGATGGGCACTGATAGGCTGCACTGATGGACACTGATAGGTGGCACTGATGGGCACTGATAAGGAGGCACTGGTAGGTGGCACTGATGGGCATTGACAGGCATCACTGATGGGCACTGAAAGGCAGCACTCATATATGGCACTGATATAGGCGGCACTGACTGGCACTGTTAGGTGGCACTGACTGGCACTGCTGGGTGGCATTGATTGGCAGCAATGATAGGTGGCACTGACTGGCACTGATAGGTGGCACTGGCTGGCACTGATGGGTGACACTGAAAGGCAGCTCAGATGGGCACTGATATGTGGCATTGATGTGCACTGGTAGGCACTGATATGTGGCATTGATGTGACACTGATGGGCACTGGCAGGTGGCATGGATGAGCACTGACAGCTGGCACTGATGGACACTGACAGGTGGCACTGCTGTGGCTACCAAAATCATCAGGGCACACTGATCATCAGTGCCCTGATGATCAGTGTACATGTCCCCTCTGAGGGATGCCGATTACCAGCTCTCCACTTCTCTCGAGCTGTGAGCGTGACAGCTTGTGAGGAGAGAAATTCCGATAACCAGCATTTCCCTATTTACATGCGATCAGCTGTGATTGGACACAGCTGATCACATGACTGAGCCTGAAATCTTCGGCTCTATACATTGATCGGTGATCCGCTGTGTCCGAGGGACACAGCGCACCGCCGATCGTTGCGCTGCGCGCTCCTGGAGCCACGTATGCGCGGTTTAGAATGGGAGAACGTCATATGACGTCCTCCCAGAACGAGAGAACCACCTTGCACCCGTCATTGTACTATATGGCGGGTGGAAGGTGGTTAAATGGCTGGTGTCATAACTGTCAACATGTGTAGAACCATGACAACTGCAGATAAAATACAGGTTAGGATGGCAACTTTCTTGACCGTAAAGTAAATAAGGGTTTAGTTCCCCTTTAAGTCCAAGTCTGTATCAAATTAACATAGTGCTTGTCTGGTATTGTACACTGGATGCATTTTCAACTATTAGCTGTTGTTCTGTGTGTGTTATAAAATCAACGTTTGCAAGTGCAAATTATGTACAGTACAAGAGCATAAGCACACCCAATGGTCACATTACATTGAGTTGTGTTTTCACATTTTATCACATGCATTATGTGTTTAAACCAAGTTGCACATCTGCAAGACATCCCTCAGAAAAGATTTGAAAAACACAACCTTATTCACATCAAAGGAACATGGAAAAGTCTTTTATTTCTGCAGACACTGTTGAGCAAGAAAAAATGCTTACATTTTTCCAAGCAGTCATCACAGATTCTGCAACTATATAGCATTTTATTTTTTTTTTTTTTTTGTTCTTGTTGTCAGTAATTCTGCTGCTACTGGAGTGGTTAGTGTATTAGCCAAGGGATAAACTGCCTGTTTTCCTATTATTGAAAGAGGTTTTCATCTGTCTTATTGCTGACTTGTACATCAATTTCAAAGACCCAAGCATTCTGAAATTAACTTCCATATAATGTATATTAAAAGCATGATAAAAACAGTCACAACATCAGTTTTTTTTTACTACCATATAAGGCAAGCTTGATTCAACACTCACTGTGTTGATGGAGGAATCCATCCAGCAGTGCTATTGTGCTCCGCAGGTAGGAAAGCTTCCCTGCCAGCAGAACACAATAATCATTGCTAGTAGCTATAGCAGCAGAAATCGCAAGCAAAAAATCCAACAGGCTGGTTTTACAGTAGTCAATCAATGGATCGACTTCAGTACAACCAGCCTCCCCATAGATGGATTGAATCTTGGCTGGTCCCTGCTGAACTGGCCAAGATTTGATCCATCTATGACCAGCTTAAGATTTTTTTTAAGGTGGTTGTAAACCATATTAAAGTGACACAAAACTCTGGATTTCAGAAATCATATTCAAGTAGTAGTTCATGCATATCTCATAGAAGTACCTTCTATTGTTATCAGCCTCCTCCAAAAACCTTTTTTTGCTGCTGTGATCTGACTTCCTATTAGAAGGTGGCTACTTTCATTTTCCATGATCCCACTGTATGTAGGAACAGATACCTTCTCTTGCTCACTCCCAAGATGGACTATGGAACATGGGATGTGTAGTATGTTTACAGCAGTGCATATGACCACAACTAATCTGCACTGCCCATTACAAATAAATGGATGTGACAAGGGAAAAGGAAAGCTTTTTGAGCTCAAGGAAGATGTTTCAAGGAGGGAGAAAAACAGTAAGAAAAGATTTCATGAAGAAGTGGATGTATATGGATTATTTTTGGAGAATAAGGATATTGTTTAGTGTCACTTTAAGAGGTCTTTGAAAAATATTCATACAAATTTCACACAAGATGCACAAACTCTTCTAATTCAATTAATTGTGAAAAAAGAGTGAATCCTGGGTGAAAACACTAATAAACAGTGTTATTTAAAGCTGATTGAGAGGTGTTTTAGTGAGACTGTAGAGCTCTGGGTAGACATCATACACCTTATCATACTCTAGGTAGAACACACTTTAACTTATCCATTGGACAGCAAAGGGGTCCATGCAAATGGATATAAAGTAACAACATTAGCAGCTAAGGTTAATGATTTCCCAGCCCTTCTCAGTCAGGAGAAAGTTAGGATGGTGTCAGAGGGGTAGTCTCCTAATAAAAAGTCTCCTAATCAGGCAAAGGGTTCCTGCATAAGCTCAACACTGAAATAAATGGGTACTGCTATTCCCTCAGAAACTCTTGGAAAGACGACCAATACCAGAAAAACAACAGAGAAATCCCCTCTCAGTTCTAGAGTGAAGCAGAATGAGAAACAGTACTTGTACACTGTTTTCTGCCATTTCACGTTGGCGAATCTGCAATGTTACTACTGTCACTCACAGTGTTTTCAGAAATTTGCTGACCTAATTTGTTTAATAAAGCAAGCCTGTCCCTAACAGGTTCTTCCCAAATCAAATTTTCCTGTAGCTCTTTTTATCCTGGCAACTTTGATGTTGCAGTCTCTTTTCCTTGACAAAGAATGTCTTATGCAGCCGCCTAAAACCCTCTCTATATCCTGCTTGGTGCCCCACCATCAAGTGATGTCAGTGACCTGAGTGTCAGGCTTATTGTTATCACTGAGACCCTGGAAGTGTGCTCCCATACATAGCCTATGCTCTGTCAACTGACATCTCATGAAGCTGTGCTGGAAGGTGCATAGAGAAACTAGTGATGTAGAGGAGGGACCAAGAGTGAGCAGTTTTTTTTTAATCAGTACAATACATTTATCTTTCTTTCTATAGCATATGCTAAATAGGAAAACATATAATATGCTGAAGAGATTGGCTTGTACTGACCATCTTTAAAGCTGAACTTTAAGAACAGAAGTTTCTAGCCCCTGCTTTGCAAGAGTTAAGTGTTCTTTTTGTCTTTGTGGAAAGGAATTAGCAATAATGCTTACCTATTCCTCACTCCACCAGTCTCTGACACTACCACTACGTTAGAAGGCTCTGGTAATTACATTGTGCATGATGATGTCTGAGAGTTCACAAGCTGTTGAATGTCAAAGAGAAACAATTTTGTAGGACTGGTGGTACAGTCTGGAAAGGTCTAGAACAGTGGTCTCCAAACTGTGGCCCTTTGCTTGCTTTCATCTGGTCCTTGGGGCATTTTTCCCTATTGTCAGCAACAGTGGGGCACCACTATGCCTCCCACTGACACCAAGGATGGGGCACTATTCCTCCCACTGACACCAATAATGGGACACTATTCCTCCCACTAACACCAATGATGGGGCAATGTTCCTCCCACTGACACCAATAATGGGACACTATTCCTCCCACTAACACCAATGATGGGGGCACTGTTCCTCCTACTGAGACCAATAATGGGACACTATTCCTCAAACTAATACCAATGATGGGGCACTATTTGTCCCTCTGACATCAATGATGGACACTATTCCTCCCACTAACACCAATGATGGGGCACTATTCCGTCCACTGACACCAATAATGAGGCACTATCCTTCCCCCTAATGCCAAAGATTGGGAACTGTGGTGCAAAATTTAGATTGAATTTATATGCTGGATGGGTGGAGCGCCTCCATGCTTGCTATAAGAGAAAATGCCTGGGTATTTTAAATGGGACTCTGAAGGCTTCTGATCATTGTAATATTTGCAAGTACATTGTGGATTTTGTTATTTATTCTAGGATCCAATAAATGCTTCTCTCTGGAAAAACCACATTGCTGCAGAGAAAAAAAATGGTTGGATTGGAGGAGTTCTGTGTTGTATTGGTGGACTCCTGTTTCCATAGTAACACTAATAATGATATCAATTATTAGTCTTCATTCATATTTTTACAACATATCCCCCAAGACAAAAGGAGCTTTTAACCCTGCAGTGTATGTGTGTTTGTGGGTATGTGGGAAGGCACTACTTTGTGAATGTTGTGAATTTTTACAGCTGGCTGGAATTCAGCTTTTAAAAACAGTTATCTTGCCTGGAAAGATGGCTGCTGTATGACAAAAAGGCCTAAATGTCCAGTGTAATCTTATGTAAGAAAACAATATAGATTGCATCACATGCAATTTAATGTTACATCAAGGGAATACAACTGCTCCTATAAAGTGTGTAATGGCAAACAGTGACTAAATAATAATAATAATATTACATTGCTTAGTGTTAAAGCATCCTGGAGTTCATTCTACACCAGCTACCCAGTGAGGAACCTGTCACTAGATTAAAGCAAATACCAACTAACATTTCTTCTCCCACAGCCAAGAAATACTTGGCACAATATCTGTTTAGCAGTTGAGTTCTGGTCCTTGGGCAGTATCTGCCAATTTATCCTGTTTCAACAGTGAGACTAATTCCCAGTCCTGGCTGACACTGTGCCCCGATCTCAATGCATCCTGTGGCTTGTGGCCTTTAACGCTGAAACTCTGATGTGGCCCAGTGCTCTGCAATCAGTTGAAAGCACTTACAGGAGCTGCCTGCCTATCCCATGATATGCTGATCAGAGAACAATTCGCAGCCTCTCTTTTTCTCTCACCTGGACAAGGATTAGAATAAACATAAATAAAGCAACATCTTGAAAGTAGATAAAACACAGCCTATAAACAATCATTTAATCTAGTCCTAAATAGAAATGTTGTGTTATTATTTTTATCATAGTCTATAAAAGCAGCAAATATGTAACCTTGCTATTCTTACTACTTAGAATTCCTAGGACATCTCAATTCTGAGAAAAGCAATAACTTTGTTTTCACAGGTCAAATCTAACTAGCAGATCAGAAAAAAAAAAATG